CAAATAGATTCTTAGGAAATATAAATAACTGTTATCAAATGTTCATTCCATGAATGACAATCACAAACATTGGTACTTGTGTGTGGTGGAATTTGACATTAAAATTGTATCAATTTTGGATACAATGCCCAAACCGCGAATGAATCCATTCAAAGAAGGTTGAGTAAAGGATATGGTAAAGTATATATTATAATTATATTTAGATTGTTATCATATATTGTAACATGGTTATAACATTAAAGAATAATGATATGATATTTTTATGGGCAGGTTGAGAGATCAGATCACTTACTTTATCAATGGCAACCAAGCGAGTATAAGTTGAAAAACATTAGAGATGAGTTCCAATTTATTTTGGAAGATTGGATTCCTTGACAAGGAAATTGGTAAGGTGGAAATAATATTTATTAAATAAATTTAATACGTAATATGAATAAATATATGTTATTTTCTATATTCCAGTTATGACTGCGGTTTGCACATTTGTTTGCTTATGATGTATCATGATGGCTGTAAGAAAACATTGGCAAAGGTAAGTTAATTTTTTTAAAAAATATTAATGTTGATATGAAATCAAATTATACCGATATGCTTGATATGATGATTTTACAATGATAAATTGTTTATTTGAAATGTGCAGGACAAGTCTATTACTGCACGTAATAGAATAATTATAAGTCTCTACACTTACAAGGAGAACAAGTTTGCTTGGAAGATGTAGAATGGATATTAATATATAGTAGATGCTATTATTGTAATTAAATAGTGGTTGTGATGATTTTGACGATACTTTGGTCATTTTGTAATAAATTATTTTACTTATATTTAATTTATGTGACATCAATGATTGTGGGTAAAATTGAGATTGATATGGTTGTGTATGTGGTAATTATATTTTTTTTAAAATATATTTCAACATTTTATATTAAAATAAAAATAAATATTATGATTTTTTATTTTTATGTTATTTTGGTAAATATTTTTTAAAATTTTGTTTTACTTAATAAGAAATAATAATAATTATTATTAATATAAACGAGCACATTGAAATCCAAATTATTTAAATCCAGCATGTGTCGTGCTATAGCATGGTTATGCTCGCTATGGCAAGCCAAATCCAGAATGCATCGAGCCATAGCGCTAAACAACGCACTACAGCGAGCCCAATATAGAATGTACCACGCTATAGCACGATTATGCTCGCTACGATGAGCCAAATCCAGAATGTATCAAGCTATAGTGCTAAACAACATTACGGTGAGCCCAATATAGAATGTACCACACTATAGCGAGATTGAGAATGCTACGGCAAGACAACTCCAAAATGGCTTACGCTATAGCGCGTCCAGCGCTACAACGAGAAGATTATAGAATTCATCGCGCTATGACGCCACTCATTGTGCCATAGCGGGAAAATATATGGCGCACCTTAGGTAAAAAAATAATTAAAAAACCCCTTCCTGTGTCACATTCCACCATCCTCCATCCTTGTTTTATGCTCTTCTCCGTCACCATCCCAAACTCTAAGCAATTTATGCCCTATTTCTATCACTTTGAACCCCTGTTCATCTCACCCATCCCTTTCCCTTCCACCCTAATTTCCCCCATCATCTTGTAAATCTGTACCCCGACCTTTTTCCCCCTTTGCACAGCTGGCATCCAACCCTAATCCACATGAATCCACATCTGAACCACATCCCCTTATTGTTCATGCTCAACCCATACAACCCGATCCATCTGCCTAGTCCTCTCGCTATCTGTCTCATTACTGTCGCTGCACACCCCATGTTAGGGCTGTCAATGGGTTAAATTTTAATCCGAATTCGATCCGAATTTTAAGCTGTTTAACCGATTAAAATGTCTGATGGATTAAATCCGATTATAAATATCCATAATCCGAAATAAGTGGATTGGATATGGAATTAAGCAATCCGATCCGTTAAAAAATCCAAATCTGAATATTTTAATAATAATTTTTATTTAATTAATAATTATATATATTAATAAATATTTTTATATATAATATAATATATATGACATTATAATTAGTAATACACTAATTTGTATTTGTAAGATATTTTATTTAATAAAACAATATATATTTTTTCTAAACTATTTTATAATATTCTTCTACTTTTCTTAATTTTAGTTTTTCTAGTAGGTATTATTTTTAATAATTAATTACTTTTGAAATTTCATGAAACACTTGAATAAATTGATTATAAAATTTTCTAAATTCTAACTATAATACAAATAAAACTTGATAATTTTATAAAGTATTGGAATTTTATCATCACTTTTGTAATATATTATATAATAAAAGTTATTCTTTATCATTCATAAAAAACAATTTATTTTTTTATTTTATTTATATTTTAATAAAAGAAAAATAATTAAACATAAATCTTAATGAATTTTTATCATTCATATATAATAATTTATTTGATTTTACATATCTTTTACTTATTGATTATTTGATTTTAATTATTATTAACAGTTATTCGGATCGGATTTTTTTTTCGGATTTCGGATTTTTATCGGATTCGGATTCGGTAATAACAAGTAGAAATCCTATAGGATTTCAGGTCGGATTCAGATATATACATTGATAATCGGATTGGATTCGAATCAGCCTGATTTGATCCGAATCCGACCCGTTTACATACCTACCCCATTTTTCCATCCTCCTCTCCCAATCATCTTTGTCTTCCCTTTACTAACCCTTGATTTCTTGCGCCTCTCCACACATCCAGTCGATTTCCCCCTTTCCCCAACCTTTTTTCAGATTAATCACTCTGGAACACATAGGAGATTCTACATACAGCGTCTCCAAAATCCCCTATATCAATAACACCTTACCTCTTTCATTTACTTATATATGCTGACATAGCTTGCATGTGTGAAATGGCAATTTGTCTCTGATGGTTTGGCATGGAATTGCTTTACATATCTCCTAATGTCTTTCTAATATCTGCTTGTTGGTTTCCATGGCTTAATTAGGGGATCTGTCTTTTGTTGTATTGCATTGTATTATATTCAATTATTAATGTGGGCCTTGTTTTGTCGCTTTTTAATTGTCTATGTTGATATGTATTTCCATCTTTTCATTGATTCATTGAGCACTTTGTATTGTGCACACTTGCACGTGGTACTCAATGCTTATATCTATATTTAACTTAATTTATTGTTTTGCCTTTTGTGCATTGTCTTATTCGACTTATTAGGCCTCTTTTGGGACAATTTGATACCATTTGGGCTCCAACTCATTATAGCCATTATTAACTAAGGTACTCGAATTTTAGGAATCCCATGAAAGTTAAGGGGTCAATGATTTGTTTGGACATTTTTTACTTTTTATAGAGTGATTGTCTTTTGTTTTGTCTACATTTTCATTACGTCACCTTTCAAAGCATATTTTCCACTTGTTTGAACATTTGGCACAAAGCCACTAACTATAGTATATTAAACTCTTTCTTTTGCTAGATGTAGTTCTCTGTTCAAAATTTTCATTTTGTATTGATCATAATAATATTATTCCCAATACGGTAGATTTTTTATGCATATCCAATTCATTGCCTTTATGCTCGAAAAGAAAGAGCATAACTGAAAAAGGATAGGGAGGCGTTCAATGTTTCGTGTCTTTCGTAATTTCGTGTGAGAAAAGTGGGAAACCGTTATCTCTCTCTATCTTCCCTCTTTTCTGTTGGATCTATATATATATATATATATATATGTTATCTATAGTTCTAATTTGTTGATATAGAAGAAGGTTATATAATTGGCTAGTTATTACTTCTTACCCTTGTGTATCTTGGGTGTTTTGGAGAAATAATATTGTTGCAGTATTTGTATAGTCAGCCATATATATACAATACCTTACATTAGCCATATAGCCATTTGTGCTTTCCTGGTCCTTGTTGTTTTCAATTGGTCTAACACTGTGTTTCTAATGTTAAGTCCAGTCCAATATCCTTTGTTATATATCTCTTTTGGACAACTTTGTGCTTTCAATGTGCTATATGGCGGGACATGCCTCCCAAAAGACCCTGAGGCTCTAGCAGCTATGACCGTACAAAGTTCACATCACTGGAAGCCCAACAACATTACATAGATGGATGCACTTCTAAGATACCTATTCCTAAGCGAGGTATTGATTATCTCCATCCGGATTTAATATTGCACTGAGAAATTATTTTGGCACGCCACTAGGAGGACTTATGTGAGCAGCCACCTCGTGCCATTGTTCTAATTGTCTGGAAGTTCTATGCTAATTTCCCGGACCATCGCAATGGAATCTTTAAAGTTTGAGGCCATTCAATACCTTTCCATGCTCAAGCCATTAATGAGTTTTACCACACTCTTAAGGTGACGAATTGTCATTATAAAGATACAATTAGTGGTGTACCTTTTCAAACTATTTCTAGTCGTTTGGCTACCTCACCGGTACAGTGGAAGATCTTTAGGGGCTCACTGACAACTTTCCCCACTCGTACTTTATCTACAGGGGCTAAGTTATGGTTTTATTTGTATCAACCCGATACTTCCTTCATCACATTACAATGACATCACTTTGAAGTAGGCTGCCTTGGTTTATTGTATCCTTGAGCATTGGCCTCTCAATGTTGGAGCCATCATTCATTTAGCTATGTTGTCTATCGCAACTAGCTTGAGAGAGGGTATTTGATTTCTTCCCTGATCACCACATTATGCGAGCAAGTGGGAGTTAACTGGTCTCATGGCGAGGAACAAATTCCTCCACGCTCTGTACTTAGCAATACCACTCTTAATCACCTTCGACAAGCTGAGTGTTGCTAGACTACTACTTCTAGCCCATCCACCCCATCAGTACCCACTCTATCACCAGCTCCAACATCTAGTTCTAGTTCAAATTCTAATTTGGCACGTATTGAACAATGATTGGATTGTATTGATCAGAGCATCGACCATCTCAATGATCGCTTAGACTATTTTGAGAGATGTTTTGACTGACTCGATCGTTTATGGCCCATGATATGGAGTGTCATCGGGTGTCGGAGATGCTTGGACATCTTAGCTATTCCACTACTAGTGCTGACCTTCAGTCCATCCCTCGCATGCCCGAGCCTTTTTGTATTGACTTCGATGACAGTGTTGTTAGTGAGGATGATGCAGAGCTGTAAGGGAGTTTTAACAATTTCATTGCATATTATTACCAAATAACAGTTATTGCTTTCATTCAGCATGCTAAACATATAAATTATTTGAAATAGCTACTGAGCATTTCAACTTTTATTTTGGATAGGATAGCAAATTGACTTGGAGTTGCATGATATGTAATATTATGTTTCAGGGCTCAATGGTTAAAAAGATCAAAGTTTTGAGCTTTAGCATTGCTAGATTTGGGCTGCTTCTGTTTTGGATGATTCTGGGAAGATGATTTTAATAATTTCAAGATCTTTATGGAATCTATACTGCATTTTTTTTCTTACAAATGTTTATTTACTTCATTGCACATTAAAATCAATATCTATGGGGAATTTTCGTGTTTTATAACATGTTATATTGGATAGGGTGTAGATTTGTGTTTGCTAGGAGATTTGTTGTGCTAACTGATCACATTTTGGAAGCAAAATATTTTGCAAGTACCAGAAGAGTACTGAACTCTTGATCAGGAAGCTTCCATTCCAGAGGCTTGTTCGTGAGATTGCACAGGACTTTAAGGCGTGCTATTTGCTTATCTTCTGTGGTGCTTGGTATCATTGGGGATCTTGTTATTAAATTCAAAAATACTGTCATGAAAACAGCATAGCATAATCAATTTTTGGTCTAGTATGTATGATGTTTGGAACTATTGGCTATAATGTTGTTAAATTCAATAATGCCTTGGTATTGCCTCAACTTACAAAAACTATGATTGTGGAACCATTCATGGTCTTTGGGCTATGGAACTCAATATTGGTATTGTGCATGAGGCTAGTTGAATGTTGTTAAGCATAATGTTATTAAATTCAACAAAATCTTATTATTGTTAGGGAAGCACGATCATAGTACTATTTTTGGTCATTATTTTTTAATTTTATGGAAATTCTGGAAAAGAAGCACGATTTTTGAGCTCATTCATTGTTATGAATTATGTCTTGGAATTTGCTTTTCATTATTTTCCAACATCTATCAATTTTTGGTCATTTGTGAACTTTGTGCTTTTCTTTCAGTTTTTTTTTTGGTGTTAAAATTACTCGTATGGATTTGACGCTTGCTTGTTTCTTTTGTGTGATGGTGGGAACGGCTACTATTTTAGTTACTTATGGAATATTCTTTGGGTGCAGACTGATCTGAGGTTCCAGAGCCATGCAGTCTTGGCATTGTAGGAGGCAGCAGAGGCGTACCTTGTTGGATTGTTTGAAGATACTAATCTATGTGCAATTCATGCCAAGCGTGTGACCAACAAGTTGACGATGTCATAATGGCCATTCATACTAAAATGATTTGAATTCCTTCAAATGTAGACTAGGAAGTCCATGGAAAGTAGCTTACCCTATCGTTGTTTCTTCCTCTTCAATTGGCCACATCATAAATTGGAGATAATATATGAATATACAAATACACATTTCTGAAGTTACACTCTGGAATTTATGATAGATCATCTCTGACTAGTCGTTTTAATTATGAATATTTTTAAAGAATTGTTGTACATTTCAATAAAGCACTACTAGTTTGTCTCTCTTTCTTTACTTTGTGTGATCAATATATAAAAAGATATGATAAGCACACTCATTTGGTGCTTAAGAATCACTAAGCCAATGTGTGGAAAGGGTTATTTTTGGAATGCTTTTCACTAGATAAATATCTTCTTTTAAATTAGACACTGTCTTACTCTTTAACGTTAAGTAAAGAAAAATTTTGCCAAAATGGTTTTCAATTATGTCTTGTTTATTATGACGTTATATTATTATTAAAAAAAGAAGTAACAAGAAGCCAAATTTTCTTCTTCATATTTGTTTTTCACATATTGTTAATTTTTTCCCTTGCAAGGTTTAAGCTCCAATCTGATCTACAACCATGCCAAGATCACATAGAAGATATTGGGGTACATTAATTTCCTGAGGGGTCAAATTAGGGAAAACCCATTATGCAAGTGAACCAAGATGGAACAACAGAAAACATAAGTAATGGTATCGATGGAATCATTTGGCCGTAACAAATTACTAAACAAAATCCAAGTAAGATTTCAATTTTAAAACTATAAGAACAAATTAATAAGACGGTTAAACAATTGATGAAGAGATACTATAATGCAAAAAAAGAACAGGAATTCGACAATCTATACAACTTTTTTCATCAATCCTTTGCTGTCAAATAATACGGTCCAAGGCCATTATGATCAATTTTCAGTAAAACCCAATCTCTACATGCTTTGCTCTCTGCCATATCAAAGTCACTGTCAGAAATATTCTTGGAGTCCAATCCTCTTGGACACATCTCACTTGTGAATTCTCTATTTCAAATCAAAGGAAATACATCCACAAGGATTTGTCAGACACTAAATTGTTCACAAATTGGTATCTAAGCTTCAAGACATTCCATAAAGCTTTAGCAAAGTTTGGCATTATATATCTTATTGTTCCTTTCTTCCTTTGCTAAGCTAGTAATACCGTCTTCAAGGGAGGTACTGTTATTTACTTCCAAATTGCTGGATTTTGCACACTGAACTGAACGACTCTCAAGTCCAATTTCTGTGTCCTTTCGTGGAAGGCGCATTGTTATAGAGAAGGAAACTATATTTAGCGGTTTTTCTGAACTTGTAAGTCATAATAATAGATATAGGGTAGGGCCAATTGCGAAATGTTATTGGCCCTACCCACCATCAAAACAATTTGTTTTCTAATGTAAATATGTAGGGTAGTTTTGGTTGCATGGCCCCATACTGCACTGACCTTACCCAATTGTACCACTGAATAATCACCTTGATAGAAACAAAAGAATAAAAAGTACAGGTGGTGTAATTTGAGGCCAAGACATTGCAAAAATTCGAAGTTTGAAACAACCTTCTTTCTGATGTTGGTATTTATCACCAGTCTCCTTCTTGCCATTACTCTGAAAGAAGAGCAAAAAATTAACAAGAATAAAAACTCGCAAATAAACAGTGATGTAGTAACGGATGCAAGATGGTCATTTGTCATTTTTTGGCTTGCAACTTATTGAAAGGAAATCTATCCCTGACCCAAACTTCCAATTTTAACTTAAAAGATTGAATGGATTTTCATAAAAGAAGCTTTTCAAAAAAATTGACTAATAGCTCCCATTAAAAACACTCTTATGAGATGTACTCATAGCCTATTATTCACACACTTTAAACAAGATGGGGCAAACAAAACTACTAGAAGAAGAAAGAAAGAAAGAAAAAAAAAACATGGTTAAAACTCTTACAAAGCTATAGATTTGTTTTATAAACCTTTTCCCTACATGAATCACTTTTTACCATTCAATTCTATCAAGGGCCATGCTCTTGATGAAACTTCCATATGATATGTCTATTTTGATCATATTAATCAAAGCAAAAATTTTGGCCAGAATCAATTGTACTCAAAGTTTGATTAGAGATGTAAGAATATTCAAATGAAAGCAAAATGCAAACTATTTATAATCTAAAGTTTGACTAGAGATGTGGAACCATTCATGGTCTTTTATCCGAGCTTATCTGATAAGATCCACAAAATGTGCAACTAAATCTGATTTTGCTATCTGTATTTTTAAATTATCTGTATAATCTCCTTTTCCATAACATAAATATGTTAGCAGCCTCACCAAGATACAATTCATCCTTTAATAGCAGTAAAGATGACTAAACTTTATATTATAATATGTAATTAAATCATAAGCTTTTCATTTAGTTAAATACACACAATTGTAGTAGCACAAAATTAAGCTATTTGTCAATTCCCAAGAGCCTTATCGTTGGTCCAGTAAGTGTACGTGGTCAGTCATTTTCTCCATGCATCAAAAAATTATTGTTAGATAGAGCTTGCTAAGAAACAACAACGAGGAAGAGAATGCTTTCCACGTACCAAAGCCCAATAGCACATAAGAAAGCCCAGTAGAAAAAAATCTATTTTATAAACAATTTGCATGATAATTATGCAATCTCTAGCCGCCATCAGATGTCTAAGAAAAGAGAAAACCATATGTACTCTGCAATACATTAAAGCTACAACAGTCACTTGCAGAGCCAAATTTTATTGCAGGAGCATAAAAACGTTATAGAAGTGTACAAAAATCATCTTAACATAATTTAGCACTCTATTTTCTCCCACAGTTTGATTTGTTTGTCCTTCCCAAAGTGTTCCAACTCTATTGTGGGGACAAATATTGAATGATTTTACACCCAGGTTTTGAATTTATAACAATTTGTTAGGATTTATGTATTTTGACCCAAGTATTCTACTCAGGCTCCAAGTATCACATTCAATCTATTATTAAAATTATATCATTAACTACAGGAAAATAATAAAACCAGATTTTGTTTTTGGCATTGATGCTAAATAAATAACTAATTTCAATGAGACTCAGTTTTAAGCTCTACCCTCTGGCGAGACTCATCCACAATAGCTAAGCTTTTCAATGTTTCTCTTTAAGGACTAGGTAACAAGATTATGTAACTTCTTCACAAAACTGGTGGCTGAGCAATTTGTAGGTTGGTTCGCTTCCTGCAAACACAAGTCATATGATGCGTCAGAAGATGAATGCAATTTCTTTTGGCAATTATAGAAAATTATATGTCCCCAACAGAAGAAAAAAAATGGTGAACAGTGCAGGGGCAAGGTTTCAAAGACCAACTCTAGCGAGTTCAATCCGTAGAGCCCTACCTGCTGGAATTAAATGAACTAGTTACCTAAGTTAAGCAGAATCACCACCATAAACGGTGATATAACTAAGGAAAAAAGAAGGTTGGTAATAAGATCAGAAGTCAATCCTTAAAGATCCTAGGTTGGCAATGGTATAATAGATTCATTTCCAACGTGTGAAAAACAGTGGACCAAAATTTTTTGTGGGACACCAAGTAAACCCTAAACAGCTATAGCATAAAAGGAGGCAGAAAAATGTTTGACTATGTAGCGATTTGGATTAGGACCAGAAAGCCAAAATTCAATTCAAATGCTAACTACAAAACAATAATCTTCCCAAACACAAATGAGAAGGATTTCCAGAACTTCCAATCAACAACTAGCACGTGCTTTACAACTAAACCTTTTCCTTGGTTCACAAGAGTGATGACATATCCAGCACCTGTATGACGATAAAAACTCACAGTCACATGCAGATAGACTCGTTCACTTTTTCAATGTTTCTCTTTGACCCTTTCCTCTTCCTTCCCTTCTATAAGTTCTATATACAATGTTGACATATGCTTAATTTACTCACAAACAACAAAGTTTTGAAATAATTTCACTAGTAAACTATTTTATTTGATATTATTTCCATATATGGAATTTCATATGGTGATGCACATGAAACTCCCTACAATTTTAACCATCTTTTATTGCAAATTAAAATCAAAATGCATTCTTTCACCATGGGGTGTTATAATTACCACATGTCTTCTTTCTGTGCATGACATATATAATATAATCAGAAATCCACTTCTAAATCAAAAAATATATGCAAATAGGCAAGTAAAACTAAAAACTAGACAATCAGTGATAAGCATCAATGTGGAAATGGTTTATTGTAAGCCATACTTCTGTTTTTGGCTTTTTATCAGGACACAAATCTGATTGTCA